GTGCATGAAAGAACTTACACAGAATGAACACTAGATTGTTCTAAAATTAATCACATGGTGACTAAGTTGTTTTAGAATGCTCAACAAGATGATTTGTTAAGTTTGAGTCCAAAATACTATTTTGACTGTATTAGTAGACATACTTGTTTTTGGCTTCGGGGAAATTGTAAAGTCGTTTTTCAGAAGTATAAGCATGTAAGTATAAATCAATATTTAAGGAAAAAAATGAAATGTGCTGAAAAGTCATAGCTTGAGCAAATAAGAGATGACACAAACATTATCTGGATCAGCCAGGGGATGGAGGGTTGAAACCACAAGTGATGGGACAACATCCTTTTCCTTAGGTTTAGTCTCAGAATTTTCATTTTTAGGCCCAAGTTCTTTATCATAATCTATCTCCTTGTCCACACCAGGTCCCTATATTAGAAGCAAATTTTATAAATGTAGCTTGTGCGTAAATATAAAAATTGGCATCAAAGAAAGTAGAAAAAGGAATGACACTATTTTCACATCTTACACTGACATTTTCCTCATTGTCAATCTGATTCTGAATTGAATATTCAGAGTGTTCTTCATTATCAGAGTCTCCAAAAACTTCACGGAGTGCTGCAGCTACATGCAAGTTCTGATGATCGCGGTTCTGCTTCCCAACATTTTTTCTTCGCAATAACATGAAAAAGTTGTTTGTCAAAAATTGTTCTCAATCAGATAATCCAAAAAAGTTATATAAGAATATATAATCCTATTATTTCATCAATCTTCATACAAATTAACCCCAATGCCAGAAATCAGTATAAATAAATGCATGTAGCATTCGATGGAGATTGATATGCTATCCAAGTACCTTCCTTCACATTCTCTTTGATCGCCATTTCAAACCAATTGAGAACCTGTTATTTTCAACTTGCTCGATCCATGGATATGATCAACATCCTGCAGCTCGTCCTTGCTTTGGGATCCCTCCTTTCGTTCACCTTCACTTGGGCCATTCCCTTCAGGCTTGGGACATCCATTTTCTTCATTCTGAAAGAAAAATAATAGCACCAACAATTCAATATCAGCAATGATAATATACATGTTATTCAACTAACAAGCCATACCATATAAAAGCTAGGGGAAAGAGGTACGATTCTGAACCCTATGGACATTAGTACATTGACAACTGTTACACTGCAGCTAAATATATATGCAAAATATGCCACTTGGAGCAAGCAATTGAAAATTCCAATGACTTAACCTAACAGTTTAAAAGAGCATAAAACCAGTCTCCCATTACCACAATTCCATAGTCCAGTACTAATAACCTTTAAATAAAATTAGAAATTCAGGAAATCACAAGAAACTAATTACGCATAAATTACTTTAAAGATTCATTACAAGACGGGCTCATGTACACGATATCTCATTACATACTCGGAAGAAGGTCTAATTAAGTTATTAATTAACCTGATAACCATGGCAACTTAATTTTAGAGTAGTTTCTGAAAAAGGAAAATATTATTCATAATGTGTTTATAAAGTCAAGCTAGCACAAGCTTAATAAAGCAGCTTTAACTCTATTAAACTTGAGAGACAATTATGAGTTACCAAAAACACGGGCTAAGATGATAAAACAATATACCCTCCAGTATATACGACACAATATGGCAGAATTTATGAAAATTTAACCCAGAGTCATATAATTACAAAGTCACCAATCCATTTCTTCTGGACCTCAACAAAATTGGATGCATCAAAAAGATTTGCAACTTTAAAATGAAATTTCAAAAATATATGATACTCATGAACATTGATCAAAGATTGGATCATGTCAATGAACCAACCGTGCTTCCTTTGCGTGATTACATTACATATGATTCTCAAAAGAATTTGTCAAACACTGATTATCTTGCTTTTCTAATTCTTGAACTTACTATGACGAAGCAATTGCAACACTCATGGCTGTATGAAATATAACAGACAACAAATGACTTTCATAACACTTTGTCAAATCCTTTTTATGGTTGAATTAGTAATAAAATCAAAATTCTAAAAATATCGAAGTAACATGTTATAGAACACCAACTACACTTCAGTTTCTATGCATTGTCACAATCACACACCAGTACAAGGATACACATGGTTCATAGTATTCAATTGTTAACTATAAATAATAAAAATAATATATATTCCTCCTGCATTTACAGTCACAGACTTGATTGACACATCTATATACCATTCAACTATAAGGGGAAAAAAATTGATTTTCAAAAGAGGAATTTCTTTGCATTGTCACAATCACACACCCAGTACAAGGATACACATTCACATATTCATGCATAGGTGCCCTAATGTTTGGTAATGAGAACCAAATTCAAACCTCGAATGCAAATATCTCTTGTAATAGCATGTCTAACAATGATTTTTGAAATTTGAATTGAAGAAAAAAAATAGGATGAGCAGAATTAATTTTATGATTGCATGCTTCGTACAGATTTAGATTCAACTTTTAATACAAAAACATGAATAGATTTATATTTTTCTTTAAATACATACATCGAACAATAAATCTACTTGAGTTTAGATGCATATGTGTGCATATATGCTCAAATAGAATAGATAAATTGGCTTCTTAGGAAAGGGAAAGAACAAA